TAACTCTATGTGGGTTAAGTCCTTGTTGGCAAGAATGTCTAGGAAGTGGAGGAGGTTGCACAGGGAACCTGACTGGTTAGTTAGGTTGGTGGGATTTTCACCCTTTCCCTCAATAGATCCATAGATATCCACTAATTCTCCGCTGCTCAGGGATCAGAAGAGAAACAACTCACACAACTTGAAGTGCTGCAGTCTAGCAGGGAGGTCAGTGTGGATACATACTGGTCATATTACTGCTGGCCCAGAGACGGCCACGACATCAGGGACACTTTTGCTGCCGTACCCCGAGCAGACTGCACTCATCGTGTTCAGCTGTGGCTTTGCACTGCTGTCTAGAACGGGTGCTTTCAAAGGCATGTGTATCTCGTTCACTTCTGAGTCTCAGTTTCTCACCCAGCGTCTAGCACATAGTAGGGTCGCTAAATAAATGCTGTGGCAGTCTCTCAGCATCCATGCTTTGTTTTCCGTGGTTTCAGTCAGTGATGGTCAACTGTGGTCTGAAGGTATGAATCACTTATTTCTGGAATTTTCCATTTAATAAAGTTTCAGCTAAGTTGCATGATGAAATCTTGTGCCTTCCTGCTTCTTCCCAGGCTGGGCATATACCATTTTCCTTTGTCCAGAGTATCCGTATTACATAAGCCTCATTACTCACTTGCTAGCTCTGTTGTCAGATTCCCTGTCTGGGTACCAGAGTGATTTGGTACTATCTGTTGTCTCAGGTATCCACTGGGATGAGGGTGGGGGCGGGGGTGGGGGCGATGGTGTGGGGGTGTCTTAGGCTGTACCTTCTGTGTGTAATGGGGGATTATAATACCTGAGTGTGTTGAATGAGTGAATGTGTCCAGAGTCATAAGAGCACAAAATGAAGAGGCAATTAGAAGATTAGGAGTCGATGGCTTTGGAGCCTCTCTCTCTCTCTCTCTCTCTCTCTCTCTGTGTGTGTGTGTGTGTGTGTGTGTGTGTGTGTGTGTGTGTGTGTGTGTGTGTTCGAACTCCTGAGCATGTAAAGATGAATATACACATGCACTGTAAGCTGAACTCAGGCATGGAGCACTCTAAGCATGTGCTCTGCCACAGAACCACACCTCCAGTTTTGGAGAAGATTTTTGAGTCTAAGGACTTGCTGGTATTTGGGAGAGGAAGGCAGAGAGGTGAGTGCAGGGTCAAACAGACAAACAAACAAACAAACAACAACAAAACCTCGCCGGATATGGACTGGCTTGAGAAGGGATAGGGCAAAGGAGAGAGTCAGTGAAATGACAAGGGGCCATGTGTCCTACAGATCCGCTGATGATGGCATCGATCGAAAGTTGTTCATGTATACCATTCTCTCTTTCCCACCCCCTCCCAAAATCTGGCTTCTCATTGCTGCTTGCAAACCCATCAAGTTGAAAACCTTAATACCCTTAAGAATCTCCTAGAGGGGTCTTGTGCAACATGCAGATCTTTATTTCTTGAGCTAGTGCAAGGGCTAAGGCTCTGCTCTCCTAACCAGTTCCCGAGTGGCGCCAAAGAGGCCAGTAGGAGATCATACTTTGAAAAATTAGCCTTCGGGTGAAAGCCTGTAGCTAGGACTATGCATTTTAAAGGCAACAGGAAATTGCCTTCGTTTGGATTATTCCTAACCTGACTTCTCCCAGCAGGGTAGGTAATTGAATGCTGTCCAATAAACTCTTCAGTGATAAATGGCCCTTGGCAGAAATGCCAAAACCACAGGGCTTCACTTCCAAAAAAAAGGCCATCTTTGATTACTAGTGTCATTGGTCTTCAAACACCTCTGAGTTTCTGCTTCTGCCCCCACTGGCTCCTAGGGGAGGCTTGTCCCCTTGCAGCCCATGATTGCTGGGGCTGCAGTGGGCTATGAGAGGCTCTGACATAGCCCTTATCTCCTGGTCCCTGATCTGGCTACTACTGGCCCTTGATCCTGGAAGTCTGAGTTGCACCAAAGCTCTTTGAAGTCTGAATACTTAGTGACTCCTAGCCAAATTCTAGCACGAAGCAGAAGAATTTAGGATTTTTTTTTTTGCATCAGTTGACAATTAAATAGAAGCTTCCAGACATAGCATGAGGCCAAATGAGACAGCAAAGCAGTTTCTTTCAGTTTCTGGGCCTCACCAGGCACCATAGGCTGCATTAGGAAAAAAACGAGGAGGCCGGCTATGTTAAACTAAAAATTTCCAGCAAGCGGGTCTAGGCTGAAAAGTGTCTGCGGCAGCCTGGTTGGTGCTGCAGCCCAGGACTTGGCTGGATTCGCCAGAGCAAAGCGCAGAGCGAAGAGCGGGAGGCCTGAGCGGTGCCAGTTTACCCTCTGGGCACACACCTGTGAGCTGTGCACCATGGAAGAGGCCTCAGGGCCCGAGGGTGGTAGGGGTGGGCACTGGAGGAGACTCCCTGAAATTCCTACTCCTGCACTGTGGCTGACTGGGCTGGGGCCACAGGAGACCCTGTGTTAGTGTGCACTGGGGACAGGGTCTGTGTGCCATCAGGACCTGCCACACCTCTACTTTCTCACAGCCCTGCCCTGTGATAGACCTTGTGGAGCACCAGGGTCTGTGGGGTTAGGGCAGCTTCAGAGACCGGCAGGACTTCACTCTCTCTTCCACGTTTGTTTGTTCCTGTCTCTGGTTCCTCTCTGAATGCATTCACTCCTTCAGCCCTGTCCCTGGGCAGACAGTCACCTCCTGGTTAGGAAACAGCAAGGCTCGGCCAGGCACTGTGCCCACTGCCCAGCCTGCTCCTTCATGACTCACAAGGGCTCTGTGGCCCTTGCCCTGTGATAAACCATGTGGCGCTCAGTGTCTTACAAAGGGCTGGTTTGAATCCTGGCCCTGAACCATCACTTGTAAATCAGACAATCAAATGTGATCCTTGCTGCACACAGATGAATACATGTGATTGCCGTGAGAGAACCTGCAACACGCCGACTCTGTCCACTTCCTTGCTTAGGGTCACCTCTACCCCACATTCTTCTACTTGTAAAAAAACAAAAACAAAAACTGTATCTTTTCCCTCCATTGAAATAACAAGTTTCAAACATACACCAAGGCCAAGAGACCTGTACCCCAAACACCACCAAACATCTGGGATCATCAGTGATTTTACCCCAGACACCACCAAACATCTGGGGTCATCAGTGATTTTACTCCAGATACCACCAAACATCTGGGATCATCAGTGATTTTGCCCCCAGACACCACCAAACATCTGGGGTCATCAGTGATTTTACCCCAGACACCACCAAACATCTGGGGTCATCAGTGATTTTACCCCAGACACCACCAAACATCTGGGGTCATCAGTGATTTTACCCCCACCGGTGAGACCAGTTTCCCTGTCTGTGTTTTTCATATTTAATAGAATATTTAAGGGTCTATTCCAGTCATTGTCTCATTTCACTTGTAACTGTGTCTCTGACAGGCAAGAGTGTTAAATACACAAAACCATGATTTTGGGGGTGGGGGTGGGGTTTGAGACAGGGTTTCTCTGTGTAGCCTTGACTGTCCTGGAATTCACTATGTAGACCAGGCTGACCTTGAACTCAGAGATCTGCCTGTCTCTGCCTTCCGAGTCCTGTGATTAAAGGCTGTGCCACTGCCACTCCACCAGGCAAAACCACGATTTTTATGACACCCGACAACATTAGAAGTTATTTGTTGGTGTACTCAATGCCCAGTTTATATTTACCTCTTTGTCATCTTTAAACAAAGTCCCTTTCCCACTGATTGGCTTGAGTCAGGGTCTCTCAAAGGCTCCCGTTCTGTTCCCTTGTAAAAATCCCTTAGGCGTTGTGCACCAGCTTTCTCTGATAGGTTGTTTTCTGCTGAAACACTAGAGCAACAAGGAAGTCATACTTCCTGATAGCCTCCTGCCCACTTCCCTGAACCCTGCCAAAACCACACGAAGCAACTCTTGGGGGGGTGCATCTATCTATCTACTATCTATCTATCTATCTATCTATCTATCTATCTATCTATCATCTATCTATCTATCTATCTGTCTGTCTGTCCATCTATCATCTATCTATCTATCATCTATCTACTATCTGTCTACTGTCTATCTATCTATCTACTGTCTATCTATCTATCTATCTATCTATCTATCTATCATCTATCTACTGTCTATCTATCTGTCTATCTATCATCTATCTACTATCTGTCTATTATCTATCTACTATCTATCTATCTATCTATCTATCTATCTATCTATCTATCATCTACTACTATCTATCCATCCAGCCATCCTCTCTGTGCGTGGGGGAGGGGAGCATTGAGCACACAGGAGCCACTGCAGGCGTGTTGAGGACAGCTTGCAGCTCTCTCTCCCCTTCTACCAGGTACATTCCAGGGGACCAAACTCAGGTCATCAGGCTTGGTGGTGGCTGCAGGCACCTTCACCCACTGAATCATCTCACTGGCCTTGGGGTGTTTTAAAAATGATAAAAAGCATTCCTTACACCCCTTTGAAATAAAAAGATGGCTTTTTTTTTTTTTTTTTTGGTTTTTCGAGACAGGATGTCTCTGTGGCTTTGGAGGCTGTCCTGGAACTCGCTCTTGTAGACCAGGCTGGCCTCGAACTCACAGAGATCCGCCTGCCTCTGCCTCCCAAGTGCTGGGATTAAAGGCGTGTGCCACCACGCCTGGCTAAAAAGATGGCTTTCTTTTTTTCATTTTACTCTCTTCTCTTCCTCCCTCCCTCCTCTTCAAAGGGTCTTGCTTTGCCACTTAGGCTAGCTTCGAACTCTTGGCAACCCTATCTCTGCTAGGATCACAGGCATGTGCCACCTCATCTGGATTTCTATAGCAAATCTCAAAATCTAAAAATCACCTTAAGAGCAGCAGAAAGGCAAGATTTGATTTAGTTCTGCGTTTAGAGGGTAAACTTTGCTAGTAACTTAATTTCTTCCAGGAATCTCTTTTATGCCCTCCCACCTGGTTTTTGAAATCCACCAACCACAATATTTACTCCATTCCCCTTTTTCTCCCTTTCCCTTACACACCACCCCCCTCTCTTTTTAGCAGCCACATACAAGTCGGCCATATTAGAGAGATGGAAATAAAGCTTCCTCAATGTTGTATATGTCTTTGAAGTACATCCGTGCATTTTCTTTCTTAGCATCTAACCATTCCTCCCTTGTGGCCCTTGGTCCCTCAATCACCCTCTCCCATAGCCCACCCGCCTAACATCACAGTCTCTGAAAATGCACAGGGATGCCTGGCTACCTCGCCCTGCCTTCAGTCTCACGGGGCTCAGTCTGTTTTTCACTTTGGGTAAGTTAGAACCACATCTGCATGCTCCGAAGGGTCAGAAGTGCAGCTGCAACGGAAGGAGGAGGGGGCTGGGGCCAGAGGGGAGAAGAGAGCGAGCGCTTCCCTCCGCGTCCTTGGGAAGGGGCGTGCTGGGGACCTGGGACTTGGCTGGAATGCAGGATGCTGGGCTACTTGGTCACAGAGACGTTGACTAGGGGATGGATGAGACTTGCTTGCGGATGGAAACGGTCAAAACAGTCAAGAGGTGTTTTTTCCTTCAGATTTCCCTGAAGCGGACCTATGCGGGGGTGGGGCAGAGCTAGGCTGCTCTGCAGTCTCTTCGGGGATTTTTCTTTTCTTTTTATTATTACTATTATATTGTTAGTATAATTTTCATTTTCAGCTGCTTCTGAGAGCGCTCATAGGAGTTGCTGGCTTATTTAAAAAAGTCTCTTTTGTGAACCCTGTTCCCTGGAATCCGGTGCATTAAGGGGTTAGGAGAGAGTGTTCCGGAGAGTTGGGGGCAGGAAGTTGAGCCTGTCCCACCAGTTTGTTGGCTGTGTGTGTGGGAGGAATGGGGGATGAGTCTTGAGAATGGGCTCTGTGATGGGGGGGGAGAGACACCAGAGAAGCTGTAGATGGACCAGGCACTGCTGGCGTGGACCGGATGGAATGGAGGAGAGGTCAGGTGTCCAGGATCCAGAAAAAAAAGGAAAAAATATAGATGGAACCTATGGATGAGCAAGGTGTGGCCTCTGAAACCAGTTCTGAACAGTCCATCTGAGCCACCCTGCCTTAAGGCCCTAAAGTCGATTTCGCATTTGAACACCCAGAGGCAGACAGCTGGGCTAGGATTTGTAAGCTTGCCCCCCTCCCATGAGATAAGGACCCACTATGTAGCCCTGGCTGGTCTCGAACTTTCGGTGATTCTCCTGCCTCTGTCTCCTCCCTAGTACTGGGATTACAGACAAGTGCCACCATGCTGGGCTCTAAACCTGCTTGTTTTTAAAACTCCCTCAGCGGTGCCTGAGGTCAAGTCCAAGGATGGTAGGTGGGAATATTCCCCATCACACAATCCCCCCCACCCTCTCTGGTAGCCTGCAAGATAAGGATCTAATATCTTCCTTCTTGTGAGATTGGACCTAAGCTTAAAACTATCTTTCTTCTTTACTTCATAACCATGGGCAAGATGCTACCCATCCCGAGCACATCACTTTCCTATGGGTGACTGGAGACCATCTCTTGCTCGGTGAACTTGTGACCTGACACATAGCAGGGGCCAGCAGTGACAAGTCTTTCTGAATGTTTCCCTGAGCCCTGATATGGCATATCTTGTTTAGCCCTCACGGCAGCTACCTGAGGTAGACACTATGATGCTATTCACGTCCCAGGGAGGAAACAGAGGCACGGAGAAGTTAAGTAACTCCTCCAGTCAGGTCATTTGACTGGCATCTGGGAGCTGAGATTTGAACCCTCACATGACTGATGGAGCCCATTCTCTCTAACACTGAGTTCCCCCGCCCCCACCATTCAGGAAAAGGTGCTGCTCTGTTAGCATTAATTGATGGAAGAGCCTCAGGTGCAGGTTAAAGAGGTGGTGAGTGACCTGAACTCCCCTCCCCCTCCCCCCCAAAAAGCCAGATCTGGAGCCAGAGTCTCATCTCAGGAGTTAGCCACAGCCTCATGGCAGATGGAGGCCGTTTACAACAGCCATAGCTAAGTCAACAAGGCCAGGGGCCCTGGCAATGGGACCAGCCGACCTGGGCTTGAGGGAGACGGTGCCATGGGTGGAGAGGTCTGTGCATCAGGGCTGTAAGGGGCAGTGGGAAGACGTGGGCATTTCAACAGGCCTGTGGGAGTGGAGACCCTGATCTTGAGGCTGTGGGAGCCATGCCTCTGCCCGTCCGTACTCTAGGCAACGGACCTTGGGTGGCTGTAGTAGCGGGGATCACCAAGACGGAGGGATGTCATAGATGTTAGGAGGGGCAGTGTACCGGAGGTGGGGCATGCGGGGAATGACTGTAAAGGTGGCAAACAGCTGTTCACATGACAAAGTTCCACCTGTTTCTCAGGACCATCAGGTCTTCAGCCGCTGGCCCGGCCATCAAAGATTATAATCAAGGGAGCACAGAGGGTGGAGTGTGGCCCTCCCTCAGCCTGAGCATACAAATTTTCCGCTAAAGGTGAGACCTAGATGTGGAGGAGAATGCCTCTTCCCCACCTGCAACCCCAGGCAACAAAATTTAATTGAGCACCTACTACGTGCTATCTGCCTTTCTGGATGCAGGGATATCAACATGGATAAGGAGCTCCCCAGGGCCTCTTGAGAGACACAGGTACATAAACAACAGCAACTAAGCATTGTCTGTAATGTAAGAATGTCAGGTACAATGATGACGCTAGAAATCACCTTTCACTAACAGCTGTGTTCCAGGCCCTGGGCTGAGCTTTGCACACATAGCATGTCACTTAATTGTCACACTCGCCTCAGTAGCATTAGTGTCCATTTCCTGCATTACGGATGAGGTTAAGGGTCTTGCCTAAGATCATGTCAGGGTCTCTGGAGTCCCAGTCTTGACCACTCCCCCACTCAGCCCAAGTCACGGGAGGAAATAGGAAGCTGGCTGCAGAGAGAACCTGACACTGGGGAAGACGTCACCCAAGCTGTGCCTCATGAACGGGGTCTATGTGGACGAACTCCAGGGGTGGGATGAACAAGCTTCCCAACCTAAAGCAAAAGCACGGACAAGAGTCTGATGGAGGGGAGGAAGAGGAAAGTCAGTGTGGAGTCACCCGAGTCACATGGAGAGATGGGATCTGGCAGGATCAGGCTGTGGTGTGCAGCCGGGGCCTCTGGGAGCTGCACCCAGAACTCGGCCCTAAAGGCAGCAGAAAGCCACTAGTCCTGGAGGTAGGGAACATGAGTGCAGCTTGGTGCTGGCTGCCTGGGCAGCAGGGTCTGCGTGCAAAGGCCGGAGAGGAGGTGGGGTTAGATGCCACACTTGCCTGGGAGCCAAGTTTCTCCTCCTCTTTCTTCTTCCCTTCCTTTTCTTCCCCTTCTCTTTTTCTCAAGAACAAAACAAACTCATAGACTGCTTTAGGGCTAGAAGGAGGAGTCAAGGGAATTTACTTCTCGTCTTTATGAGAGACAGTGTTTGGAAGATGAGCCCAGTTTTGGGGTCTCTGCAGGATGACCCAGGGAGAGACAGTTGATGGCCAGGGCCTGAACGACCCAGCTGGGTCAAGTCCTGGGTTGTCACACTTCCCTTTTCCCACCACCTCCTTTCTGTGAGTTGGAAATCACAAGACCCAGACTTCAGACCTGGCGCCAAATAGGACTTAGGAGAGTCATGGATTCCCCCTGGAGTTCCTTAGCAGAACACTGCCTGCCAGGGTCCTGCCTGGATCCAGGCGCTGGAGCTACCCTGTATCCTTAGGACACCTTGGAATGACAATACTGACCCCACCCTGCTCGACTCCTCGACTCAGCTGTCTGGAGCCAGCGGATTCAGGCTCTAGTTTTATCACATCCTGGCAGTGGACTTGGGCTAGCCACTGGATTTCTTTGTGCTCCATTTCTTCTTCTGAAAGTGATAGGCAATAGATAGAAAGGTAGGTAGGTAGGTAGGTAGGTAGGTAGGTAGGTAGACAGACAGACAGACAGACAGACAGACAATGCTTGCCGATTGTGTGCACTCAGATGGAGGCAGGGCCACGGGCGGTCATGATGGAAGGCCTGTGGATTGTGGAGGGGCCTGAATCCATCTAATTCCCAGAAGCACCAGGATCTGCTCAGCTCTGACCTTGACCAATGCTTTCCTGAACTTAGTGAGAGCCTAAACTGACCTCACAGCCTGGACCCCTGAGATTCTCATGAGGTCTTGGGCTGAATCTTGGACCAGCAGGTGAGAGCCATCTTCCTGGCTTCAGCTTGTACCTGCTCTCAGAGTGTCTCCCCACTCCTCTTTCCTCACAGTAAAAGGATAGCACTTGATCTACAACCCTGGAGGTTCCCCTAGATCTGTTTTCCTTTAGTTTGGGGTTATCCTTTCCACTTTCTTCTCTGCTGGTGGGACTTGATAGTTGACCTCTATGGCCACTAGAGGGCACATGAATTCCATCTGGTGCCTCTTGCAGGGCACACGCAGGGGGATCCTGCATTGCACCTTTCTCTGTCTCCTGGCACCAACCTGAAAAACGCCTCTGACTCCCGACAACTTTGCAGCCTGACATAGTAGCATGCTGGCTCCTTTTAGATGAGATGAGGAAGGGAGCTGTCAATCAGACATTCAAGTTCAGCTGCTGGGGTGGGACTGGCTGGAGAGGGTGAACTTTCCAGAGCCAGTTGGTTTCAGAGCATTTCGAGGGAGGGTGGCACTTGGAAGGTGGAAGCCCTTTCAAGGGGGGCCTGGAGAGGTTGGGATGCCCAGCATCGAAGGTAAGCTCAGGACAAACCTCCATCAGTTCTCTCCCTCAGAGTTCTCAGCCTCTGCCGCGTGGGGGCGGTGTTAATATTTTCTGCACACCTCCTTGCCTGGCACTGGGCCAGGTACTTTTAGACTCGGTATGAAAGTGCAAGAGCCAGGCGCTGGGCTCTGTCCCTCCGGGGAGGGGTCCCATCAGCTTCCCTAGTTGCTGTACCGCGTGAGCACTCCAGTGCTCACTTAGAGTCATTGGTCCTGCAGGGGAGGACCATAGGTCTGCTCCCTACCCAGGCTTTGGAGGGACCTTCCGGGCTAACAGTCCAGAGAAACCTCCTGTCCTTAAGTTCTGAGCTTTGTGGGCCTTCGTGGGATGGGCTGGGTGGAAGGATGCTCTGGGTCTGGGCGGGGCTTAGCCTCCAGGCTTGCAGGCTGCAGCGCATCTGTTTCTGGGGGCGGGGCCAGCGGATTTGTGAGATGAAGGAATGGTTTGAGACCAGGATCCCTGTAGCCTGGCTCCTTAGCTAGATCTGGGGTAAGTCCAAGGGGGTCAGTTTCCAAGTTGCCCTCAGGTCTAGAGACACCCCCCCCCAACTCTGCACATGCTCTGTCCCCTTTCTGTCCCCAAAGCAGAATTTAAGGAGAATGAGGTTAATAGCAGCTGCCATTTGCTGAACATCTAGTACTTATTTTAGTCACATAACCACCAGCAACGGTGTCATGAGCTAGGATTTCTGGAGGAGGAGGCTGAGGCCTGGGGAGTGAAGGAGTCTGCCTAGGCTTCTTACATTGACTGAGACTAGAGCTGGGATGGAATCCAAGTGGAATCAAGGTGTGTGTGTGGGGGGCATGTTTTTGCTCATGTCCATAGCTGTAATTTTCACCTAACTGGCATCTCAAGTTGACCATACCCCACCCTTAAACACCCCAGAACCATTCCAAGTGCCGTGTTCTGGCCCCTTGGCCTGGGCTTCACCCAACTCTGACCTCAGGTTTTACCATGCCCTTTCTTGTTCTTTCTCAGATGTATGAAGGTCGTCCCAGCCCAGGAAATGTGGCCCTTGAGATTCCTAAGTTGCTCATTCCTTCTCTTGAGTTAGACACTTCCTAGTGTCATTTTCTCAGGGCCCTGCTCCCTGACCACTCTGAACAGATCAACTCCTCTCTGCCATACTTTAATTAATCCTTATAGCCCGTGCGATGTAATGCTCCAGACAACCACATTCTTATTTTTGCTGTTGCTGTTGTTACTATACGCCCCCTCACCGGAATACAAGTCCTGCAATGCAGGGACTCTGCCTCAGACTAGCACCTCCCAGGACCTAAGACCAAGCACCTGGCACACAGCAGACAGTTTGCGTATATTTAGTAGCATGAACGGATGAGGGCTGGGAATGTGGCTCAGTTGGTAAAGGGCCTGCCTACCATGCATGAAGTCTTGATTGGACATCAGGCAGTGACTAAACTGGATGGGGTGCTGCACCCCTGGAATCCAGGCACTCGGGAACTGGAGGTGGGTGAGTCAGAAGCTCAAGGTCATTCCTAGCTGCGTAGCTCATTCCAGGACAGCCTGGGTTAGAAAAGGAGGCCTGCCAGCCACACACACCCCCAACCCTGCAAAAAACAAAACAACACACTAACAACAAACCTGGAACAAACAGAAAAACAAACCACAACAAATCCAAAAAATTCACAAAGTGAAAAATGAAAATGAATGAGTGACTGACGCTGAATGTTACTGCTCTGGTTTGACCTGAGCCGTAGCTCAGAGCAAGGGGAAACTGAGGCAAGCCAAGTGAAGCCTCTTATTTGGCAGGGAAATAGCACTAGTCTAGGTAGAGGCAAGTAGGGGGTCTGCCCACAGTGACCCTAGAAAAGGCTGAGGCCATTTGGCTGTCCGTGGCCTGGTAGACTGTTTGAAGCTCTCTTCTGCACCTGTTCTGCCCCCTCCTCCTAAGGACCTCATCTGGTGTCCCTCACGTGCCTTGCCTTCCTAACAGCAGCCCCAACTCCGCTCTGCCTCTTTCCATCTACCCCCCCGCCGCTGGCTGTAGAAGGGTTGCAAACCTTCATCCCCCCACCCCCACCCAGCCCTCATCAGACTGTTGTTTTCCTGCTGCAGTGCCCCCAGGGCGGAGCATGGAAGTCACGGTCCCCACCACTCTCAGTGTCCTCAATGGGTCTGACACCCGCCTGCCCTGTACCTTCAACTCCTGCTACACCGTGAACCACAAGCAGTTCTCTCTAAACTGGACTTACCAGGAATGCAGCAATTGCTCAGAGGAGATGGTAAGTCCCAGTGGAGGAGGAAGTGGGGGAAGCAGGAGCCCCAAGGCATGAAGCCCACTGCTCCTGTCCCTACATCCACACCGGACCAGGGCCCCAGAAGACTCTGGGTGGGCTGTCTGACACAGAGGTCATGATGTCACCACAACTGGATGGCCCGTTTGAGGCTGACCCCCTTCCTTCCCGTGTTAAAGAAGAATGGGAAGTGGGTGTGTCCGCATTATCCTCGCGGCCCCTGCTCACCTAGCGGCCCATGTCTCCCCACCCCAGTTCCTCCAGTTCCGAATGAAGATCATTAACCTGAAGCTGGAGCGGTTTGGAGACCGAGTAGAGTTCTCAGGGAACCCAAGTAAGTATGACGTGTCAGTGACACTAAAAAATGTGCAGCTAGAAGATGAGGGCATCTACAACTGCTACGTCACCAACCCACCGGACCGCCACCGTGGCCATGGCAAGATCTACCTGCAGGTCCTTCTGGAAGGTAAGGGTGTGAGAGACACTGACCCTTCTCAGCTTAGCTCAAGGCTCTTCATGGAGGCTGGGGCCCCATTTCGCCTTCAGGTGTTTGTGCTGATGGAAGGTATCCATGCCTTCCCTCTGGTCCCCAGGGAACAAGTCAATCCTGATCATAAGCCTCAGGAATAACAGCAGTGTTCGCGGGTGTTAGCTCTTTTCAGCCACAGAACCCGTAGAGAGAGGAGCTATTATGCCCATTGTATGGATGAGGAAACTGGGGCTGGTGAGCATAAATTCCTTAAGATCATACAATTCCTAACTTCTACAATCAAATTTGGGTCTGATCTCAAAGTCCAGGATCTTAACTATCCGTTCTGGGGGTGGAGGGGCTTACTGAGGAGGCTTGTGGGGAGGGACGCTTGGAGGTCAGTGGTCTAGGTTGCTTTGATTTGCCATAGGCCCTGTCCATGAAGATGAGTCAGATCAGATCCCCTCGTATCTGGGGGAGCAGGGGAGACAGGACATTTTCTTCCCAGCTCCGTGATTCTGCTTCCTTTTCCTTAGTGCCCCCGGAGCGGGACTCCACCGTGGCAGTCATCGTGGGTGCCTCCGTGGGGGGCTTCCTGGCTGTGGTCATCTTGGTGCTGATGGTGGTCAAGTGTGTAAGGAGGAAAAAGGAGCAGAAGCTGAGCACGGATGACCTGAAGACTGAGGAGGAGGGCAAGACAGATGGTGAGGGCAACGCGGAAGACGGTGCCAAGTAACCGGCGGTCTGCCCAGAAGCCCCTCCCTGTGCCCTGTCGCCTTCCCCCCTGCCCTGTACAGTGTGACCCTGCCTGCTCTCTCTTGGTGTGCGTCTCTCTAATCGGACCCTAGGATCCACCTGGGGCCTCACTTCCCATTCCCTACCCCACTCCCCATACCAAGAGTGACCTCCCTTCCTTCCACCTGAAAACTGCCTTGGTATCTGACATGTGCAAGCCCTGGGGAGAGCAGAGAAGAGCTCAGCATGTCAGTCTTTGTGGAAGAAAGACCAAAGATGGGATGGGGGAGAGAGGGCAGTGGGAGCAGAGGTTGGCTGCCCATCTTGTCTGGGGTTTGGTCTGGTAATGGTTTAAACTATGGGGGTAGCAGTGTGTGTGCGTGTGTGTGTGTGCGCGCGTGCGTGCGTGCGTGTGTGTGTGTGTGTGTGTGTGTGTGTGTGTGTGTGTGTGTGTGTGTGTGTAGGGGTGTCCTGTGCTGACCAGAGGCACCATGGGAAAAGACGCATGGTGGCTTTGCTGAGTTCCTCTGGCTACTCCCAACACAGAACAACCATCAGGATGGGGATAAGGGTAGGGTCCTACCATCTGTGGGGGCATTTTTAAAGGGATGACTGTGCATTTCGAGGGCACTCAAGGAAAGCGAGGCTGAGGCATTTCTGGACACGAGCCTTGGCCCACAGAACTCTGTGCTGGCCTCATTCGATCACTAGCTGCTCCTGGGGGGAGGTTCTAGCTCATTGTTGGTTACTGCTCTCTTGGGGGTGCTGGCAGGAGCAGTACTGAAAAGACAGCATTGGGCAGGACCATACCCCACCCTAGGGACCCCCCAGCAGGAGACCTGTGTCACTGCAAACACATTTAGCTGCCCCCTCTAACAAGATGATCACCTTGGCCTCAGCCAGTAGCCGCCAAGGCTCAGAACTCTGTGTGTTGGGGGAGAGTGTAGAGGGCAACTTCCTGCAGGGCTTCAGTTGGGGTTTCCAGTTGCACTTGGCAGTTGGGGTTTCCAGTTGCACTTGTCTGGCTTTGGCAAGGAAGAGAAGGCAGGAGGGAATGTGAGAGGATACCGGTAGAGCCTGAGCCCTGCCCCAGAGCTCCCTTTGTAGGGGAGAAAGTCACTCTTGTGGGAGTCAACTTTCACTGCCGTTTTACTATCGTTATAAGGAGCTTGTTTAAGTCTAGAGCCAGGGAGAAAGGCAGGGGAGAAGCTGCTAATGGAGAGCATGGTGTTGGGAGGGGCTCAGAGGAGAACAAGCCCTCCTACAGATGACCCACACAAGCTGAGGGTCTGCCCAATTCTCGCTCCTTGGTCCCCAACTAGCATAAATAGAGCTTCCTGGTGGGACAGCCTCAAGTCTAGAAGGTGTTTGTGCGTGGTGGTAGGGTTCATCTAACCCTGCTCCCCTCCCAGGAGCTCAACCCCTCTAAGCTCAGGGAGTTAGTGTCCAGGGTAGGGGATGAGTGTGGTGGAGACCGGACCATGACAGTCTCAGGGACCAATGCTTGCCTCTGCTTATCAGATAGCCAACTAGAAGATGGGAGGTTCCTCTTAATCCACTTCAACAACCATCTATTGAGCATCTGCTCAATGCCAGGCACTGTGCTGGGTACCGGGGGTGCATACAAAGCCATAATAGAGTCAGGGACTGCCAGATCTGCGCTGTAGGAGCAAGATTCTCTTTCTTTCTTTCTTTCTTTCTTTCTTTCTTTCTTTCTTTCTTTCTTTCTTTTCTTTCTTTTCTGAGCATCTACTTCCACCTCTGCGGCGGCTGCTTCCACGAGAGAGTGGGGAGAAGGAAGCGGCTCTTGGATGGGGGCTTGGGAAATAAGAGTACAAGGGAAGAGGGGAGGCACCACTGGGGAGGTGCAGAGGTCAGGTGGGTTGGGCCTGGAGTGGGAAGTTCTAAACTCTTTGGCTCAGTACCTAACTGCCAATCAACACACTGCCGATGGGAGTGGGCTAAGCCACCAGGACGCCTGGAGCAGGTGAACGCTGCCTATCCTCCAAGCTAGCCAGCTGGGAGTGGAGAGATGGGTGGTGGGCGCCGCAAAGCAGCTGAAACCGAAGGTGGTGGTGTTTACATCTGTGGCTTGGAATAATCAGCTCTCCTCACCTGGTGCGCGAGCCCTCTTCTCTGGGGGGCGGGGAGGGGGGGCTGCACCGGCGGGACTTTGCTCACACCAGGTCTCGTAACATCTGGTTGGGCTGCTTGTGAGATTCTTCAAGGGTTGTTCTAAGAAGCTCGAGTCTCCTGGGGTCTTTTTCTTTTCTGTCCCTGACAGAGTGGGGGTCCAGAGATGGCCATTGCCGTCCCTGGACCCCCACAGGCTGGGTCAGGAGCCATTTCTGCCCCCAGGAGCTTGCCCTCACGTTCACTTTCTTCTGGAGCTGCTCTAGAGCCTCCTCCAGGGGCTCTGGGCTGTGGGGTCGGGAACAAACCAGGCTTCTGTGAGGTGAGGTGGGAGACTGAGAGATGTTTCTCCAGGAGCCATTGTTGAACCTGGCTTCCTAGCTTAGGCCAGCTAACTGCTCCCTTGCTGACGTGTGGGCTCCGGGCTCCACTTCTGCCTGCATGCTCCCATCACTGTGCTGCTCCTGCCTCTCCTGCCCGCCCGGAACCCCTGCCACACGTCCCACCGGCCTCTTCCTCCTAATTAAGGGCCACTGCAAAGAAAGATGGGCTGGCTAACCCATGGGATTTAGCTTTTGAGAACAAAGCACAATTTTTTCAGGACTGAAAATGCCTTGAGGTGCCTTGGAACTGGCTTTGGAAATAGCTCTCTGCCCCTCCAGCCATGCACCCATCGGTTATTCCCAGTTTATAACAAGGAAAAGCTGATCGGGTCTGCGTTGGCCTGCGAGTCTCCTTGGGAAAGTTGGGCTGCTAAATATTCACAGGATCAGGTTAAGGAGGCAGACGGGTGGAAACTCTGGCTAGGTCCAAAGAAGTTAGTCCCAGGTCATAGGGGTGAATGGCTTGGTGCAGTTGGAACGGGAGACAAATCAAGAAAGCTTTCTTCCTGCATATGTCTTAAGGATAGACAGCCTTGCTGTGCCTCTTGCTGATGTCTTCCTTTACTGAAGCTTGCTGACGCGATTGTACATAGCCTTTCTTTTTAGGAATAGATATATTATATATGCATATATAAAACATCTCACTATGCTCACCACGAGTAGATTCACCAAAGGTTCTTTATGGAATGTTCGTCATGGTTTGTTTGGGGGGGGGACCCAGCTGCATAGCTAGCGCTTATGCATGCCTAGGTTCTACGTGCTGTTTGGTGGTTGGAAGGAGTGGTTGGGAGGGGAGAGGAGCTTGAACAAGTGGTCTTCTGAGACCCGACTGCTGGGGGCAGGCTGAGTTTGTAGCAGTTTGTCTGGTTGCTTGGATCTGTTGGCTGCAATAAACACACTGTCTCCCCTGAACATCTCTCTGGTGTGGTGTCTGTTTTCCAGCGTACAGACTGGGGTAGGGGAAGGTTTTTTTGGAGGCCGGATGGGAAGTCCTGATGCTTCTTCACCAGGACGCCATGCATCCTGGGAGGAAAAATGAAGCCTACCTGCCCACTTCTGTGTTTCACTTGCTTGCCCTTCTGGACCCTGGAGGATTCTGTCCTCCACAGCAAGCACCCTGAGACAGACAGGTGGCTGAGCACCCACTTCAGGGAAAGACTTTCGGTTACTTCTGGGATGAAGACGACTCTCAGGCACCCAAGGCTGGCAGCTCTGCGGATGCCACCTATTCTTCTCACAGACAGATGGGCCGTCTTTCCTGCTCCCAGCTTCTTAACAGTGTCTGACTAGGTAGGCAGCTCTCACGCTTGCTCTGGGATCCAGAAAGAGGGTGGCAGCTGGTCAGAGCGCCCCAGTGCAGCTTCAGTGGGGAAGGGCGGCTGCTGGGAAGCCAGGCCGCCTCCATCTGCATGTGTATCACTGTATCCTATTTACATAGTGCTGAATCAGCCTTAAGACATTCGAGGACCAGAGTTCCCTCCCTGGGACTCACAGGAGAGGAGAGAACCAACTCCTGCATAAACACACACACACACACACACACACACACACACACACAATGTGTAAACAATGTTTAAGACCAAGGTCATCCTTCTGTCCAGGGGCTTACACTTTCTGAATGTCAAGGGAAATCTGTAAGTAATAGGTCATTTTTTCTCTGACATTTCTGCCTGCTCTCTGGCGATCCAGAGACCCTCCTTGGTGGTTAGTGGTCAGGAGTATTCCAGGAAGAGTTCAGGACTAGTAGCCCTAAGGCTTGTGATGACCACAGGTGTAACCCCAGTGAGGCACCACAAGGAAGCGGCAGTGTTAAGCAAAGATGGCTAGTGTGGCTAGCATCAGCAGAACCGGAGGACCTTGGTGTAGGAGGGTGCCAATTCCATGCTGTGCCCTCTGAGGGAGGAATGTCAGGGAGGGTGTCTTCGTACTCAACAGAAAGAGAAACTGAATAGAAGAGACGCGAGGGAGTCTGTCTGGTTCCTTCAGGACGAACACAGGCCCCTGATGCTCAGGCATGTCACCAACATTCATTCTCTCTCTCTCTCTCTCTCTCTCTCTCTCTCTCTCTCTCTCTCTCTCTCTCTCTCTCTCTCTCCCTCCCCCCTCTCAATAACATTTGGAAGGTCCAGACGGCCTGACTTCTAGGAGGTGGGAATTCAGGTATTTATCTAGTTTGATGTCTTCGACCTGCTTGAGCTTGGATGGAATAGTTTTGATTGTAGCTCAAGTTGCCTTGGGGAAAAAAAAAGACTTCCCCTCATCCTACCTCCTACTCTGACTGGTCAGGTCAGTGGCTTCCTGAGTCCCTCGGCTAGCTGAGAGAACCACACCAAGCTATTCCTTCACTATCCTGATGGGAAGTCACTGTGGTACAGGAATCTGTTTCACAGGAATGGAACAAGCAAATAGATCCTCAGAGATGGGAGGGCCCGGCAGAAGTCACAGCCAAGTCTCCTCAGTGTCCTAAAGGGGAAACCGAGGACCAGAATTTACTTAAGGCAGGATGTGGAATCAAGAACAGAGAAGGTCTTGTAGTGGAGTCAAAAACTGTGTTCTTCCCCTGCTACAGTTCCTGTCTAGTGTTGGGCCAGCACAGCTCAACACAGCAGCCCAAGACAGCTCAGCTCCTGCCCTGTCAGTGGCTTGTGTCAGTATAGAAGAGGCTCATGCCTCCTTCAAGGCTCAATTTTCAGAGTTGAAGTCCAGAGAAGGGAAGTCACAGGGTTGGCTAACGGCAGAGGCAAGACTAGAGCCCGGGTCTTTTTTCCCTAAGTGGACCTGATTGATACCCATGGACAAGAAGACCACTTTCCTTTAGCTCTACTTCTGAGTCCCATTTTCACGCTCACTAACCTGATTTGCCTTGTATTTGTTTGTATGCCTGCTCTTTTTAGGCTATGGATCTCCCAGTCATCTTGCCAGGGAAGGGTGGCATCCATACACTTAGGTAAGAAGAAAGTAGGGCAGGGCTTGGTGGGGTGCACATTGGACACTTAGATGTATGACAGCCGGACAAGCTCCAGTTAGGTCTCCTGGCCTTCACCCCTTCATCATTGTCACCTCTGGAACTCAGAAGGGCCCTGTGGCTGGCTGGGACCTCAACGGGAACTCTTCCAGAGAGCCCTGGTGGCTCTCCTCCTTCCCACAGAGTCTCATCCTGAATCACTCCAGGCATTTCTCATATCCAAGGTCCAGCTACTTCTCAAGAGAGGCTCCAGCCGGTGGGTGAGCATTCCAGGAACCCAGGAGCAGGTTGCCCAGCTGGGACCCACATTTTAAAATTCCAACACAGCATACAGGGGAATCAGTCAAGGACCCCATTCTCCCACAGGACAGAAAAGACCCCAGACTAAGAATGGCGAGAGAGGCTGGGGGTGGGAGAGGAAGGGAGAACAGAGAACAGAGAGTAGAGAAATAGGAAGCGGGGAGTAGGTGGCCTGGTGATGCAGTTTTCCCTTTTCTCTGGCAATAATGACTTTGAAAGTCCAGGGGGTGCTCCGGGGAAGGGAACCAAACAGACCCTGAAACACTGAGTTTGGCTACTTGAGAGTCTGTGGAAGGGGTCAAAACCACCTTTATCCCAACCCCAGCTGCCTCTGCTTCTTAAGTGTGTCTATAAGCCATCTATCCCAATAGGCTGAGTGGCCCCCACCTCTCCATGGGCAAGGGCAGAGAAGGAGGGTATGCTTAAGGCAAGTGTGCATCCCAGCTGCTGGCCAACGGTGGGGCAGGCTGTGGCCAGACGGGCCAGACGGGTCTCATTCCACCCGAGGCGAAACACTAGGACTGGCTGGCGGAGGTGGTTATTGATCCAGTGGAGGTCAGCCACGCAGGCGATGAGCTGATGAGTTTCCCGAGGTAATGAGATCTCCATCCCGGAAGGTATTCAAGCATAGCTCGGAGGTGTTGTCAAGAAGGTTCAAGTATCCGATGGTACCTTTAGATAGTCTTTAAGACTGCTGACAATGGCCTTCACAGCCCTCACTTTTAGGACTCACATGATAGAAGCAGGATTAACTCTTGCTTGCTTGGAGATAAATAAAACTAGTCCCTTTGTCATTCTATTTAGCCATGACCCCCACTTTTTACAGTTATTTATTTATTGTGCATTTGCGTGCGCGAGTGTTTGTGCACACGTGTGTGTAGTGTGTGTGCGCGTGTGTGTGTGCCTGTGTCCATGCACACGTGTGTGTGCGCGTGTGTAGGTCAGAGGACAATTTGCAGGAATCACAGTTCTCTCTTTCCACCACATGGGTCCTGGGGATTGATCTTGGAGTGTCAGACTTGGCCACAGACACCCTTGAAGCCATCTCGCCAGCCCTACTGAGGCTCCCTTACTGCCATCTTCTTTACATGATTTAGAAGTAGGGGTGGGGTGGGAGTGCTGGCAAACCCCCAGATGGGTTGAGAAAATAGGCCGGAAGACTGTGAGGAATGCGAAGCCAAGTGCTCCTGTGAGGTGTCTTTCCAAAGATCGAGCCAAGTCTAACTAGCTTCTTTGGCCTGCCAGCCACAGCCTGGGCTACGGGTTTCCCTGTCTTCACAGATGAGACCATACACAAAAGACGGAAGTCCTCAGCCCTTCCCTGGGGGCGGGCCTCTCTTTCCTTCTTACCTCTCCAGCTCTACCCGTCTGCCACACCCCTTCTGCTGTCACTCTCCACTGCAGCTGGCCCTGTTGGTAGGACAAGGGATAGCTTCCATGTCCCACCTGAATGGGCTTGAATGACGGTGGGCTGGACCTATAGGAACGGCCACTATTTATTAAGTAGCTGCTGTGTCTGGCACTGAGCCAGGCGATCTGTGACAGTCTAGCTAAGCATAAAGACACACCCCAAATTCCCATTCCTTTCTTTTGTCGGCAGATGAGGAAACAAAGTTCTGTTGCAGTAGGCATATCCATAGGAAACTGCAGAGCTGATTTAAAGGCCAGGGTCATGCGAAGCCAAAGCTATCACTTTACATCATAAGGATGGACCGTGGAGTGACTTTCCACAGTCCAAAGACTTAGTTAGGGGCAGGTGGAGGAAGGGTGAGTTAAGCCAACTCCAAGATGATCATGGGTGATACAGGGGTCAAATGGAGCAGGGCACAGCTTTCCCAGAGGCCTCTGATGTCCCATTTGGATCTGGTGCTCTCACTCCTTGGCTCCGTGTGTACAGTGGCAGCCTCTGCCGGCTACCTTTTCCTCTCCTGACCTCTGGCGCCCCCTGTCACTTCTGCTAGCCTGTGAATTTCCCTACCTTCCAGACCGGAGCTCTGTCAGTCCCTACCCCTTCTCCTGCTTGCCACACTCTAACTTCCGGAAGCTTCCTTTCACCCAGGGAAGGTTTCCCCCTCTCCCACATTTCCTTTCCACTTCTCCTTCCCCTTTCCCTCCTCTCTGCACCATCCTCTCTCCTGCCCTGCCAAACCTCCTCTCCTAGCCCCCCGACCCCATTAAATGTTTGTGGAAAGAACAGGATTGGAATATTTAGTGAGTCCTCCCTGGCACCCTACACAGTTTTGTGGTTTTGCGTCTGGTGCTCATTTGATGGGGAGGACGGGGTCCTGGTTTCTGGACCACACGTATGGCCACTTAGCTAATCAACAGTCTCCTGATGGACAGCAGCTGCAATGTAAAACAAACCTTCCCCAAACCTCCAGATGCCACCTCTTGAGCCCCCATGGCTACTGATAAGAGAGCAGTATATTTAGTGAACCAGGAAGAGAGTTAAATACAGCTCTGGGGTGTTGGTTAGGGTCGCTAAGATTCTGCCCAGGGGCTTCAGGTCCCACCCAGTGTAGTTCCCAAGAAAGAGATACCCGGGACTCACCCATCTCTGAGCTGCTTCTAGAAGTGGGCACACACCCCTCTCCAGTTTGGGACTGTCCGGCCAGCAGAAACATTCTCGGGTTGGTTTGGCTCCCTCCTCTCTCTGCCCTCTTCCTTCCAATGAGCTCATCTGTCTGGGGCTCCCCATCCCCCTTTGCCCGAGAGGGTGTTTGGGCAGAGCCTGGCAGAAGCAAGGAAAAGAAGGATGGAGGGAGTGATTGCTTACCTGCCTATGCCCTGAGCCCCTAGGAAGTGGAGGCGGGTGAGATGAAAGGGAGAACCCTTCTCCAGAGGGAAGCTTGGAGAGAGTTTAGCTTTCTACCAACTCACTGATGCCCCCGAGTCCTGAACTGAGGTGGCCATGCAGCATCCTTAGCTGGGCCGTTCAGCTCAGCCACGTGCCTGCGGGCTGGTTTGGTGCATACTGTCTTGTTAACTCTCTCAGCACCTGCCAGACTTCCGTGGATGCTGAGAGAGTGGCTGGATGAGACAGCCACTCTGAGTCAAGGGAGGAGTGCGTGGGGAGGGGCTGGGAGTAGACTCAGATACTCTAGGAAGAGACTCCAGAGCGTTGGTTCAGACAGCATCAGTCCAAGCCCCCATCCAAATGGTGGAGGAACATTAATGCAGAGAATCTGGTGCTTGTAGCTGCACTGAGAGGGGGGCCCTGCAGGGTAGGCAAGATGCAGAGGCAGCTCTTGGGAGGAATCCAAGGCCTGAAGGGAGCCATAAGGTGAGGGTGGAGGGCCAGCTCCCTGCAGAACCCACAGTCAGTGGCACTGTGCTTAAGTGCCTGCTGTTACCTGCAAAGGCTTCTGGGGGAGGAGGAGGAGAGGCAGTAGGCAGTAGACAAGAGCAATAGGGGAGCCCAGGGGGAGGAGGTGCCTTGCCAGGCTTCTGCAATTTAGGAAGAAAGCCTCTCAGGATAGACCTGGAGACTCTGCCCGATTCCTTTCCTCGTGCACAGGGTCCAGGCTGGCCTGCTGGGACAACAGAGAAGGGGTCCTCTATCCCGCAGCCAGGGTCACCTGTAGAAGGTTGAGTAAGTGAGCATCTTCTGGGGTCAGAACCACCCCGAGGCCTCCGTTACTGTGATCTGCCCCCTCTTTTGGTAACTCCTTTAGAAGCTTCCCTGTTCCAGAAATGGGGCCCCTCTCCCCCATAACTCTATTCTTGCCCCTCAAGAGGCTTAGGAAGTGGGCTTTCTTCTGAGTCAGCTGTCTAGTCTGACAGGATTTGGGGGGGCCAACCTACCTGAATTCCCAAGGAAACACCTCCTTCCACTTAAGCCCCGGCTGTCTCTGCCAGCTTGAGAAATGGATGATTCTCTGACAGCTGTTTGGCTCTGGTCAAATCCATCTCAACGTCCTGAAAACTTCAAGGAATTTTGAGCCAAGCCACCCAGACCCGTGTGCGTCACCCACTCCCAGGAGTCAGGGTTGCCAGGAACACCACGGAGGCTGTGGCAGCAGGTACCCACATCCCGAATGGAGCTGCACATTTTATTTGTTCTCCCACAACTGGAGCTTGTGACAGGAAAGAGGAGTGGGTCTGGTTGGGCCTCCTTAGGAGTTTTCAAAGGGCAGGGAGAAGGAATGGGGCCTCCTGCCCGTCCCTCCACCTCCTTAGGAGGAACCCCTTGGCTCTGTTACTGCCCTGGCTTTCTGAGGTGTCTGAGGAAAGTGTTCCCTAAATGTGAAACACTTCAGCTCACCACTTAGTGTTTCCCCAGTCCTCATTTTCCCCGACTGGGGGTCCTGCTGGTGTTCAGAGAACAGTCAGGTGGTTGACGAGCAGAAACCAAATAGCAGGGAGGTGCTGCTCTGGATTTACCTGTGGATTTTGTAGGTGACCTTGGCCCACACATACTCTTTCTCTTGCCCACATCTTCATGTGTGTGGGGTGAGGCACGGTAGATGCCCTCTCAGCTAAAGAATCCAGGGAACAGCAAGAGACCAGGGGCTGTGGGGGGGAGGGCACTCAGAGGAGCTAGTCACCTTCCTCTGCCCCCAGGGTCTAAAGATATCTCTGGAGTCTGTCCCCTCTCCCTCCCTATTTTCTGGGCAGGGGTCACTTTCTTTCCTTTGGCTCACTCCCTCTCACCTCAGCCTACTGCTCTGAGAAACATGACCCTGTTGTAAAAATAACACGGGCAGTGTGGATGCCTGGCCTTGTCCGCAGAGTGGAAGGACCTCCTGGGGTAGGCAAAGGTCAAGCCTCTCCTGGACACCAGGCCCAGGCTTCTGGGAAGTTGGGTGTGTTGTATGCTTACTCTGTGTGCCTAGCTCTCTGCCACACATGTTAACATGTGTTTTATGTCTCCAGGTCTGTACATCCAGCTACACTTCTCATACTGGCAAGGGAGTCCACACGTGGGCTCTAAACCAGAATAATACCTTTAGCACCAGCACTCAGGAGGCATCGGCCTGGTTTGGAGGCCAGCCTGGTCTACATTGCTGGTCTACAGGGCTACACAGAGAAATCCTGTCTCAAAACAAACAAAACAACAACAACAAAAACAAAACAAAATCAGAAACACAACAGCAGCAACAACAAAAGATCAGGACAGCAAGTAATCCATCCTCTGCCTTTGACTGCTTTTCCTTGACGATCTAGAAGATCAGGTCCAAAATGGGATTTTTCAGACTATTCCCTAGTTGTCTTGCTTCTGTGGCTGGTCCTGCATCAACAGGGACTCTAGAACATACACAGGAACCACCCACTTGCTCATCAAGCTTATCCACGCAGCTACCTGTAGGCCACTTCTTGGGTCTATGGACACACTCCTCATTTCAGAGGACAGGCTGGAGAAGAGCCCAACTCAGACACCCTGAAGAGGGATCCCAGAACTGAGAGGTGTGTTCCCCATTGTGGTCCCCTGGACTCATGGGCCAGCATGAGGTCCTCTAAAGCTAGGAGCCTGGGGCTGTCCTCCTTGTTGCCCTGGGTTGAGGATGATGCTGTTTTACATGACCTCAGGGGGTAAATACCATGGGCTCACCAGCCAGCAGATGAGCAGAGACTTCTCCGGAAAGTTGTGTGCCTTGTTCACAGTTCGCCAGCAAATACAGGCATCAGAACTGTTCAACTACCTTGGCAAAGATGATGAGGCAGAAGAAAAACAGCAGGGTTCTCCCCGCAGACATTTAACATTCTGCATACAACCTCAAGGGTCTCTTATGGCGCTGGAGCCTACTAGGGACTCCAGTTTTGCAGATGAGTGGCGGGTGTAGTGGTGTGTGCCTGCAGCATAGAAGGAGGGTGTATTTCTAAGGTTTAACTGGTATCCTGATAGCGAAGGTTTGTCCTGGAGGTTTGGGTAGTTGACTAGGGGTCTTGAGGGGGCATCCCTGGTGTTCATGATTCTCCACCCGGCCCCCGCCCCGCGCTGCATTGGGGGAAAGGCACGCTGTCCCTAGCCTTCTAACATGCACAGAGTTTGCAGAAATGGGTTGGTGGGCGGTGTTCAGGGGCATATTGCAGGTGAAACTCAAGTTTCCCGCGGCCTAAAAGCCACCGGCAGAGCGAATGAGCGGCGTGGCGGGAGGAGACGCGTGTGGGTCCTGGTCTGCACACGGTCGTCCGCAGCGGGCAAGCCGGCACACGCCCACCGGCTGCGGCAGTGCCCGCTGCGGACGTCCTCCCTGCGGTCCCGGGAGAGGCAGCCGCTGCCCTTACTCGTGTTCTCCGAGCGGAACAAAACAGCCTTCCAACAAACCTAAAAGCTCCACCTCTACTCCCCCGTGAACTCTTCTCCTAATTGGCAGCTCGGCGCATGGGATGATGCGGGCGGCTGCGGGCCGGCCCTGCAGTGCCAAGCCGCAACATCCCGGTCCGGCTGGAGAGAGAGAGAAGGCTGTCCAGGCTAGACTCCACGATCGTGATCCGCGGCGCTCCGGTCACCGTGAGAAACCGGCGGGGACGCCGCCCCTCCTGCGGCTGGAGCGCTTCCAGAGCAGAGGCGCATCGCAGTGCCGCTCGCCCTCCAGCTCCGGCTCCTCCTCCTCCCCTCCAGCCCGTGCGCCCGCAGCGGGCTCCAAGAGGCGAGCGGACGCGCCTCCCCCTCCTCGCCCTCCCCCTCGTCTCGCTCTCTTGTGGCTAACTTTCCCGAGCCCGGACCCGCGGCGCGGAGCACCGCCCCCCCCCCCCCCCCCGCCCCTGCAGCTGCCGGGCCCAGAACCGACCTCCGGCGAAGAGCGCAGGGGTGCCTACTATTTCAACCCAAGCTCTCAGAGAGCTCCGGAGAGATCAGGACCATGTCCCGGGCTGGGGACCGAGGCAAAACCCTGGCGAGATGGCTGGGCACTGGGCTTTTGGGTAAGGCAGCCCCAGCTTTGTCTTTTCTCTCGCCTCTTTCTTACCCCCACTCCACCCTGAGGGAGGGGATCTTGGAGAAGAGGGGTGCCTTAGATAAGGTGGCACCAAGTAAGCGGAAGACCGTCTTCCTGCTGGACGCTTAGCTTTGATACTATGTTCCCTGGGAACCCTGTGTAACCCTCCCTCCCCCACGGCCATCCTGGCAGAGTTCCTTGCTCCCTCTGGTGCCTTTTGGAGCCAGGTCTTGGAACTGCAGCAGGGGACTCCTTCTAAGTCCTGGAGTTCAGGCATGCTGGTGGAGGGGTCTATTGCCTTGAGTGTGGGGGTTCCAGAGGGTTGCAGGTCTAGTGGTGTCTGCCACTCTTGTCTGGAGCTATTGGCTTGTTCCCCTGGCAGCAGGGATGCACCAATGGGGGGGCAAGGGTCTCCCCAATACCACCTTTTGCTAGGATCTTCCCTCTTCTGTCTTCTCTGGCGTCACTGAAACTCTATGCTAAATGCTGGAAGGGCTTGGAAGGACCTAGAGGACCATTCTAAAGCCACCTTTAAGAAGGGCCTTGTCCCTCTTCCTGTAAAGGGGTTCTTGGAGGAAGACCTGTCTGGTCTGCTCCTGGTTCTTTATTTTGGGGAAGCCTGTGAAGAGAGAGAAGTCAGGTCCAGAGGACGCAGAGGGTATAGGATGTTATGGATATCTATTAATATTCACATAGTGCTTTTGAGAGTCAAGCTGCAAGAGATTAGGCAATGGTATTTGTTAGCCAGAATGTAAATCACAGCCTGGCTTCCAGTGCGAGGGGGGCTCCATGTATGGTACCTGGACCTCTCCCTGTTTATACAGCTAGCCCCACCCCCACTGGGTCAGGCACATGGTTGAAATGTTTGTGGTGGAAGCAGGTGACAGAAGCCTCTAAGAGAAGCCACCCTTGCACCTGTGAACCACGTACAGACGTGTCCTATGGGTGCCTGTCAGGTGCTGGTGTGGTGGTGGTGAGGGGTAGCATTCTTTTGTTCCTGAACTCTGGTTTACTCACCTTCCAGAGGTCAGATTCAAGACATTGGTGTTTTCATTGCGTGTCACTGGACAGGTGTTACATGGGTTTCATGGTGACTCTTTAACACCCAAGGCTCCTCTTTGTGGGATGGGAGTTCCCATTTGGATCATCCTAGGACTCCCCTGTGGCCATGGCAGGGGTGAGGGGTCGCTGAGGCACCAAAACTCCACTCATTAAACCAGTCACTGTATGTTATGGGTTTCCTTACCCTGTGTTTGGTTGACCAAGGGAATATTCTTGAACCATACTTCTGTAGACAACAAGAGGGCTCTGGGAACTAGGGATGGGTTGGAGTGAGACGGGGTGAGTCGGGAGCAGGGTAGAACTTTGGTATCAGTGGGCAGGGACTTTGAAAACCGTAGCGTAGAGCTTTCCAAAGAGTGTGGAAGGTGTGGTCTAGAGAGGGATGGTAACCTGCCTAAGGGCATATGACCAACCGATGGGCAAGTGGGACAGAACCCAGGCTGGTGAGAGGGAAGGTCAGCGGGCCCTGTGTCTAGAGCCTGAGAATGAGTGAGACCCTGGGTCGTGGCATGGGAGCTATGGGCTTGAGCGGGGATCAGAGCTTTGTTTTCACAGTTGGGGAGCCTGATCCAGGAGTTCTCCCTCACCCCATCCATATCAATTCAGTTCCATGGACGCAGACCCCAGTGGTGTTTGACAACACAAACGAGATAGCCTTTTCTGAACCCAAGAAGGGGCTCGCAAGTCCGCATTGCTGCCACTGAGGCTTACATGGGCTCCAGTCTCTTCCTAAGTATGTAACGGGAAGTGTGTGCTCTGCCCGCCCCTTCCTTGCCCCCTGATTTGCTTAATTGCCATGATCTGTGTTTAATTATCACTTGTGAGGGCGCTGTGTTGCACAACCCTCTCTCCCCTGGTATGTATTTATTAAGGACTTGTTTAATGAGTGCACAATTAAGGAGAGGCTGTTGAGTCCCATTCAGAGGGAGAAACCAGCTGGGGGATCCTGGAGAAGAGGGGAAGGGGGTGGGGGACAGTCTGCATCTGGAAAAGATGACTAACCCTGAAATTTCCAGAAGCAGGCTTTGGGGACCAGGCAATGCTGGGCCCCTAAACCCTTTGTCTGGCTACCTCCTGGAGGAATCACCTTGCCCTGTGGCTGCTCCTTGAGGGGATGTAGGTACATTCTTATAAGCTGTGGATGGGGTGGGCCAATGCCACTGCTCAGTGGCCTCCAAGAACAGGCACAGACCCACTGCTTGGACTTGTTTGTGAAGCTGGTTTCCCTGATCTGTGCTGTCTCAGGGGCATGCTTCTATCCTGGCAAAGCTCCTGGGGGTGGGCAGGAAGCAAGCAGGTAGGTTGCCTAGGGTGAGGGAGCAGAAATTTTTCCTTTGCCATAGGGCTCAGGAGCCTTGCCTGGCCCAGCCCTGCTTCCCCAGGCCCCTGAGGCCTCTGTCCCAGGAGGGTCCTTGTCTCTCTGCCCTCAGCAGGCCCACTTTCTTCCTTTAAGTTCTGAGCTGTTCTTCCTCCCTGGGGCCAGAGAGTCTCAGCTGAGCTTCTGTTCGCCATGCACCATGCCTGAAAGTCCTTGGAGCTAAACTTAGAGCAGGCGCTCTCCTGCCTTTCCTTCTGCCCCCTACCCTGCCTGGGTGTGGCTGATCTCTGGATATGGGAGGAGATGATGGAATGTTCCCAGCCTGGTATCGACCCCGCTGGGTGCTAACAGCCATCAGATTCCGGCTGGTGTGAATATTTAATAGGATAGCCGTGTGCATGTACACGTGTGTGGAGGCCAGAAGTTAACCCTGGTTGTAATTCCTCAGGTGACATAGGAATTGACCTGGAGCTTCTGGATGAGTAGCAAGGCTGGTTGTTCAGTGAGCCCAAGACACGTTCCTGTTTCTACCTTCTCAATTCTGGGATTATAAACCTATGCCACCATACCCATTTTTTTTTTTTTTTTGGTTTTACGAGACAGGGTTTCTCTGTATTGTTTTGGAGGCTGTCGGTCCAGCCTGGCCTCGAACTCACAGAGATCCGCCTGCCTCTGCCTCCCGAGTGCTGGGATTAAAGGTGTGCGCCACCACTGCCCGGCCATACGCATTTTTTAAAAAACAAGTTTATAGGGAGTTGGGCTCATGCTTGCCAGAAAGCGCTTTCCTTACTCAGTCACATCCACACCCCCAAATACTTTTCAAAACCTTTGGAACAACTTGTGGATCCCAAGTCTGTATTTCTCCCTGGACAAAGTTCCAGCAGGGTGGCAGGAGCTAGGGACTTGTGAAGTTGGCTGCTGAGAGAGGCTAAATGAAAGACTTAGGAAGGGCCACGCTGTGAGAATTCACAGGACTCTGACAGAGGAGACTTCATTGATCCCATGGTGCCAGAAAGAGGCCCAGCTGGCAGACATGTCCATACCCATGCTGGTATTCTAAAGAGGTGACTCTTGGGCAAAGCAAGAAAGTTCTTTACTTAGGGAAATAGCCACATGGAAATTATCCAAGATGTGGTAGAGGGTGAAGAAATAAATCAATGTGTGAGTAGCCGGGAGACAGTCTTGGCTGACGACAGTGATCTTTAAGAGAAACCAGTGGCGCCCTGGTTATATCCAGTACTGGTATGGGGACAGCCGTGTCCCCCTCGCCCCATATAAACAGCGTCTTCTCCCCTAGAATGCTCCCTTACTGAATTCTTCGTGTTTTACAGCCTCATGTTTTGGCTCCCCACCAAGTTTGGGAGGTAGGCAGGTTTATAGCTCTTTCTGGACTGCTCTAGGGATGAGCATGCAGGACCTGACTTTGTCAAGGTCAGCAGGCAGACTGTGGCTTGCCTGGGGCCTGCTGACCAGTCCATTCCCGCTTTGGCCAACCTGCTTAAGTAGCCCTCTAGGGGCCCGTTAGTGGATGCTGACCCATGCTCCTCCCCACGCTCAGCATCACAGGAGCTTGGACACCGATCTCCTAGACACAGCTGGCAGGGTTTGCTCGTGCCTGACTGGGTGGGCTGTGCATTGCAGAAGCAGCCAGGGTTGTCCACTATCTCCCAGGTTTCAACCCGGGCAGGGATGCCTCTGTGGAAGCTACCTCTGCCGGTTTCCTTTATCTCCCCCAGCGAGGACACGGCAGTGCTTCACTGAGTCCTGAGCATATTAGATAGAGTTAAGTCATCCGCATCAGGCAGAGATGCGCACTGTGCGGCGAGCCAGAGCTTAAAGAAATAGTGTTCCTCCTTCTGAACTTTTCGTGTGCTCTTTTCTGCTTCTGTCTATTTAAAGCATTTTCTCAAGCCAGGCACAGAGGCACAGGTTTGTAATCCAGGCACCTCAGGAGGTGGAGGTGGATGAGAAGTTCAAGGTCAGCCTTGGTTGCAGAGCAAGTTCTAGTCTGGCCTCTGTGAGACTCTATCTCAACAACAAACAAACGACCATGTCACCGTCTCCTTGGATTTGCTTCTGTGCTCTGCTTCTGTTCATCTGAGCTGCAGTTGGAAGGAGGAATTTGGTCCTTGAGATGAGTCCCTTGTCTTCGTCAGGACCCCATTCCCAATTCCCTCCCTCCCTCCCTCCCTCCCTCCCTCCCTCCCTCCCTCCCTCCTTTCCTCCCTCCCCCCTCCCTCCTCACTCCTCCCTCCCCTCCTCAGGTGTGAGCCACCACATCTAGTTTAGGAAGCTTCTTTTTTTCTTCATAACTGTAAGGTGTGTCTATGTTCTCATTTGTGAATGTGGGTGCACGGCAGTGTGTACTTGGAGGTCAGAGGACACCCTTGGCCCACCTTCCACCTCCTTTGAGGCAGGATCTCTCTGTTGTTTTCTGGCTGCATATACCAGGCTAGCAGGCTTGCAACCTTCCAGAAATCCTCCTGTCTCTGTCGTCCACCTACCTGTAGTAGCACTGGAATTACTGATGCTTTATGCTACACACTGGCTCTTACATTGGTTCAGGGGATTTGAACTCAGATCCTCATGCTTATACGGCAATCGCTGTTGCTCACTGGGGCATCTTGCCAGCACAGTGGTTCCCTGTCTTCTGCTCTGCATCCTGGTTCTGGGTTTAGGGGGCTATGGAGGTGTGGAAAGCAGAGCTTCAGGACCATATCCTCTAGTGCTGGTTCTGGGCTGGATAGTGGACAATTGTGACTGCTCCTGTTCCTAGGCCTGGGGAAGAGCAGAGATAAAAAAAGAAGCAGGCACTCCAGGGAGCACTGACCCCCATCAGAATGCCTCTTCTGGATGGGAGAAAGCAGATCTATTTCTGAGACTGACTACTTCCTGGGTATGTAGCCTTATGTGTTTATTTCTTTGAGGTATTTATTGGGAATAAAAGGATTAGCACCTTCAAAGGATAAGGATGAAATGTGCATAGTCTATGAACTATACCCATTCTGTCACACAGTAGGTCCTACGTTCCAAAGATGACTTCACTGTGTGGCTGCTGGGAAAATCACTTCACCTCTCCGAGCCTCAATCTCATCAACTGTAAAACGAGAAAAAGCATACTTGCCATTTAGTGTCCTATTAGAAGTGGGGGTGACTGTGTGGGAGCCCTCTAGCATAGTTATTTTCAAAATGTGGTCTGCACCCACACTGTTCCCTGGGAGCTACAGAGAGGCCAGCTCTGAAGACTCATATAGTCAGTAGCTCCAGGGGCCGACCCACACCTGCCTATGCCTGTCCCTAGTTGATTCTATTGTCTGTATCTCAGCATGGAAAGCCATTGCACAGACACGCACATACATGTGCACGCAGGCACACACACATGCACACACAGACAGACACACAAGCACACACACATGCACACACAGTCAGACAGACAGACAGACAGACACACATGCACACAGGCACAGACAGACAGACACACAGACAGCAGACAGAGACACATACAGACAGACACACACAGGCGCGCACACACAGGCAGATAGACAGACACACACACATACACACAGGCACACACACATACAGGCAGACAGACACACACACAGACAGACACACACATACACACAGGCACACACACATACAGGCAGACAGACACACACACACATGCACACACAGACAGACACACACATACACACAGGCACACACACAGACACACACAGGTAGATAGACAGACACACATACACAGGCACACACACACATGCACACACAGGCAGATAGACAGACAGACAGACACACACACATACACACAGGCACAGGCAGACACACAGACAGATAGACAGACACACACAGGCGCACACACACACATGCACACACAGACAGACACACACATACACACAGGCACGCACACACACACGCATACAGACAGAGAAACACACACACAGGCACACATAGACAGACAGACACACATGCACACACACACAGACAGACACACACACAGGCACGCACACACAGGCACACACAGACACAGACAAACACATAGGCACACACAGACAGACACACACACACAGGCACACACAGACACAGACAAACACACACACACACACACACACACACACACACACACTGATTGAAGTAATCTAGCAAGAGCTGGATCTGCAGTGGACAAATGCACCTATTTTAGGATGCGTGCAGGGTTTTCCTGGTTTTGGGAGCATGAGATGCTGGAACCATTTCCCTCCTTGACCTTAATAGAATCGCTGACTTCTCTAGGCTTGGTTTCCTCTCCAGTGTGATCTATAATCCTAGACATGATGGGGTAGCAGAAGGCTGGAAGGCGCCAGGCATGCTGTAAATGCTTCATGAATATCTGCTCTGTTGTCATCACTGACCGTGGCAGGAGTCAGCACTGGGTCACTGGGCCATAGGGTGCAATTTCTGACTTGGAGTGTGTGTGTGTCGGGGAGGTGGGGGTGGGGGTTGAGGGTGGGGGTGAGCAGTCAGAAGCAAAGGGGACACAAGGAAGGTGAAGGGACCCTTGAGAGCAGGAACAGGGCCACCAGCACTCCTCCGAGCTCCTCTGTTATTTGGTAGTATGGTCATTACCCCTCGTGAGTAAAACAAGAGGAAACAGACTTATGATGCAGCACGAGGAAATTAAGTTAGAAAACAAAGGGCTTTCCTGAGAATTATTATGGGAGTGAGCGTTCATTTCCCCTACGGGCAAGGAAAGGTAAGGGTTCTGAGGTGGATTTTCTTCCCCAGAACGACCTTGAGGCAGTGAAGTTTCCTGGGGGAATGTGCAGGGAGGAGGATTAGATTCTTTAAGAGCCCTTAGGAGGAGGGCGAACGGGAGGACAACGTCACCTGGGACAGAGGGATGTGCGGCAGCAGGGGTGTGGGGGGAGGCGGAGAGGGGGCCGAGGATGTCCTGCGGAGGGGCTCGGGAGGCCGCGAGGGTGTCACTGTGGATCCTGGAGTGACGGAGCGGAGAATGGCTGCGGGGTTGGGGAGGTCCCGCGCTTCACCGAGTCGGGAGGACCGGTACCCTGCAGCGTGCCCTCATTTGGTTCGAATGGCCTCTGCAGAGAGTTGCGCTCTGCCTGCTCCATCGTGCGTCCTCGCACTAGCAGTCTGTGTCCCCCCCGCGGCCACGGTTTCTCTACGGCGGGCTGGTCGTCGTCTTTCTCTCTTCGGGATCCCCTTTGCGTGGTTGGAGGCGTTGAACTCACCAGTCGGACACTGTCCATTCCTAAAGTGTCTCTCTGCCTCCAGCGCGGGGACTGAGGCGGTCACGCTTTCCACCTGACGATGTTCTGCCCCACACCCGCAACTCCCAGGGGTGCGCTCCGATCTAGGGAAGGCTATCCCTCACTCCGTGCAGGTGAAAGGAGTTCCAGCACTTCCCTGGCCCTGTCTGTACTAACTTGCCTCAGGACCCAGGTGAAGGGGCGGAGTCATAGGTTCCAGGAAAGGGGAGGAAAAAAGCCATCAGACCCTCCTTTTCTTGGGTTGGGGTGACCCCTCGTGGTCATTCTGAGTACCACAAGGCCAATAAGAGGCTCAGAATTCATGCCTATTCAGGCCAAGTGGATACTGAAATGCGTGGCCCAGGCCGTGCAGATACTATATAGAGAACCATCTTCCCTCATGAGGGTGTCAAAGACCTCTTTGCCTGGCAAAGCCACTCTGCCTGCCTGAGAGTGCCATTAAAGAGCTTCCTATGGGGTTGTATTAAGAGAGGCCGTGTCCCTTGTACAGGTCTCTTCCTGCTCCCTATGTCCCTGTCATTGGAGGTGTCTGTGGGAAAGGCCACCACCATCTATGCTATCAACGGCTCGGCGATCCTGCTGCCCTGCACCTTCTCCAGCTGTTTTGGCTTCGAGAATCTCTACTTCAGGTGGTCCTACAATAACAGCGATACGTACAGGATTGTAAGTGGGGTGCTCATGTCTTTCTTCGGTTTGTCTGGAAGCCTTCAAACCCAGGCTCTGATTATCCCTTCCGAGATAAGCTCCACCATGATGACTCCAAGAGCCCACCTCTTGTTGCTCTTTCTCTCAGAGTCCAGGCAGGAGGATTGTCCTCATGGTGATGCCAGAATCTAGAATCTGCTGGCAATTTTGGCTAGACTTTGTTGTCCTGTCCTGAGGAAAACCTGCAACATGTACATTTGCAGAGAATTTCATAGTTTGGCAATCAGGAGAGAGAAACGGTTGGAAGAGAGCAACTGTAGAGGCCTGTGTTTGGAAACATAGGAGAGGGAGTCAGGAAGGATGAGTCGGTCACAGATGTGGATGGAATTCTTTGAAGTCTGGCGAGGGGTTCTTCTCCCAGAGTAACTGGGGAAGGCCCATGAGTGCAGCCTGAGAGGGTGGTGATGGAGAGAGCTGTGGCATTAATCCAGATCCTTACGGAAAGACAAGATTCAGTGGGGTGGAGGGTACAGTGTGTAAAGGCTGGGGGGACATGCAGAGAGGGGTGCGTGCGTGCGTGTGTGTGTGTGCGCGTGTGCGTGTTTGCGTGTGTGTGCGTGTGCGTTTGTGTACGTGCGTGCGTGTGCGCGCTTGTGTGTGTGTGTGTGTGTGTGTGTGTGTGTGATCTGCAGGGGCACTGTGGCATGGGGGAAGACTTCTATGAAAACAGTAGCTGATGTGCTGTAGAGTCCTTAAGGACACAGGTTTAGTTTAAAGCAGACAGACTTCGGGACAGGCAGGGCTATAGCCACTGGCAGAGAGAACGGAGGAAAAGGGGAAGGGTCTTTCTGGGCATGGACAGGGTTGGCACCCGGGGGAGGTGGTGCCGTCTGACAACTCCGATCGCTTCCTGCCCAGCTAATAGATGGCGTTGTGAAGAATGAGAAGTCTGACCCCAGGGTGCGGACGAAGGATGACGACCGAATCACGCTGCCGGGCTCCACCAAGGAGAAGATGAACAATATCTCCATCCTGCTGAGTGACCTGGAGTTCAGTGACACAGGCAAATACACCTGCTTCGTGAGGAACCCCAAAGAGAAGGACCTGAACAACTCTGCCACCATCTTCCTCCAAGTGGTTGATAAGTGTATGTCGTGGGGGGAGGGTGACAGGGGAGGAAGGACTTGGGGTGCCCATCTCAGAGTGGCACTGGAATGGCAAAACGGGCCACGCTGGCGATTTCCTTCTCCTGCAAGAGTTACATATGAAAGCTAGAAAAAGTCTGCTGTGGAGTGGCTTGGGAATAACACTGAACATCTTCGAGCCTTGATTTCCTAGCCCATAAAATGGGCATATGGCTGCCTTCTGCCGGAGTGGCTGTGAAGGCCAGGGGAGCTATCGGGGAGTCTTCGGAGGCATTAAGCTCTCTCCTTGTAGGTGAATTTTGCTCCTTTGTGTACCGCATTAACAAGTGTTGGAGGCTGTCAGGAGTCGTAGTAAAAGATGCTGTGACTGGTGCAGTATTCGTTTTTGAGAATAGCAGCAGTACAGATGAGTCACAGAGAGAATGAGGTGAGGTCCATCCCCTAAGGGGTTGGATGCAGGTAAGTCACTTAAGCAGTGAAGGTACTGCAGACAAGGAGCCAGGTAGCCACACGCCTCTAGTCCATGGAGTGGTCAGAGAAGCAAAAGGGGATAAATAGGTGAGAGGTTGGGTTGGGAATCTTGTAGCAATGCCTTCTGTGTGTCCCCACCCCATGACCCACTCAAGGAGCCCCTGGAGATGAGACAGCAGGAGTTTGGGCTATCCCAAGGGCAGAGCCTGAGGTCATCCCGGCAGTCTTTCCTGAGTCTGGGGTTACGTCTGCAAATAGTGTCACCTCTTCTGTATGTTTAGATTTCTGTCACTCTGCTCTGTGCTTGGCCTTTTCAGGAGAAGGGAACTGACAGAGTGTTTCTGGGTGACAGGCTCTCGCCTTAGCTCAGTGGCTCCTCACAGGTGGCTGCTGTCTATGCACAGAGCTTTTCAGCCATCCTTTTACAGGGTTCGGGGTGCTGAGAGCACAGTGTGACCAGGATGGGAGCTTCCCTCCCCCCCAGCTGAAGGAGCAATGCAGTTTAACAAAGAGTGGCCTTGCTGCATAGATCAGATAAAGCCACAGGGGAAGCCAGGGCTCCGGAGGCTTTGCAGGGAAGGGTGACAGAGTGGGGTATGTGAAGGCAGCAGGAGGGCAAGCAGAGATAGCTGAGAAATAAGTTTGTGACTGGACACTGGGAGCTGTGGGTCTCTTTCTGATTTATCCCCCTGCTTGTGTGCGAGGGTATGGGAAGGGTGAAGGGAATAGGCCCTGTGGTGTGTACGTTTGCCCGGAAAGGCTCCGTGCTCTGGCCTCGCCTGTCTTGGTTGACCTGAGAGGGTCATGGCCTGGGAGTAGAGTTACCAGCTTGGGACTGTGTGATGGCTTCACATGATTCTTCCCTCCCTGCTCTGCCCCTCCTCCAGTGGAGGAAGTGGACAACACGGTGACACTCATCATCCTGGCTGTGGTGGGCGGGGTCATTGGACTGCTGGTCTGCATCCTGCTGTTGAAGAAGCTTGTCACCTTCATCCTCAAGAAGACCCGAGAGAAGAAGTGAGTGGACCCCCATCGCTGCCCCGCTCCTCCAACCCGGTGCCCTCTGCCTCCACCCCTGCCAGCTGCGGTGTCTCCGCCCCCTTCTGATGCCACCACTGTCCTTTGCCGTGCCTACAGCCCTCGCCCCAGCTCCCGACTCTCTCCCGACCTCTCTCCGCTGCCTCTTCCCTATCCAGCCCTCTTTTCCCCAAGTCCCGTCAGCCTCTCTTCTGGTGTATGCCGCTTGCCCCAAAGCCGGCCATAGGCTTTAGGAAGCCTGTTTATTTTCTGAGTTAGACTTCTCTTTTTCCGCTCTCCTTCCTCTTACCAGAGAAAAATGTGAGTTCATGTATGGAAACTCTAGAATGGAAAGGCCTGTAGAGAGGTGAAAAATTCAAGTGGGAGAGGCAGACACACGGCCTGACAGCCACGCATGGTGGCTCGTGCCCACAATCCCAGAAAGTTGAGTCAGCCTTAGAAGGATCCCTTGAGCTCAAGGCCAGCCCAGGCTGCACTGTGAGGCCTTGTTTCAAAAGCCAAAGCTAAACTAAACTAAGCTACACTATAACATGGAATGGTGACATGGCCTCTCAGGAAGTCCTAGTGTAAGTTCAGTTATAAAAATAGACACCTAGGGCCAGGGATGCAGCTAAGTGGTGTAGCCCAGTTTGTGTGAGGTCTTGGGTTCAATATACTTCTGCTGGGAGAAAAAGATGGGCAGGAATAAGGGTGTGAGCCCAGGCACAGAATTTTCTGGAACGGTGTCAGGCTGACTTTAAAGTATCAGGTGAGCAATCTTGCAAAGCCAGAGCAAGAAAAAGGCATTAGAGGGGAAAAGTGTCCGGAGGGAAAAGGCATTGGAAAGCTGTATCCTCAGAAAGACTGGTGATGAGCTGGGCTGCCCTGGAACAGAACAAAACAGAAGAGACCAGGGAGAGGGCACAGGACTGGATACAGGGAGCACCCCATAACCCTTGTGCCTCTCACTGGTGTCTCCTCTCTCCTTCCCTCCCTCCCCCTCTCCTCTCCAGGAAGGAGTGTCTTGTGAGTTCCTCTGGGAATGACAACACAGAGAATGGGCTGCCTGGCTCCAAGGCAGAAGAGAAGCCGCCTACAAAAGTGTGAGGCCCTGCTTGGGCCGAGCAGTGGAGAGAGCCTCACTTTCAGATGGTGACACTGAAGCCTGAGTCTGTCTGGAGATCCACCTACTGAGATGTGCGCTGCTTGGCCCAGACTGTAGCCTCTCTGAGCTGGAAGGACCTGACCCCGCCCCGCCCAGCCTGCTACCATTCTTCCCACAGCCAGGGCATCCCAGGGGCCAGGGCTGGCTGGGGGAGGAAGCCTGCTGGAGGAGGCTGAAGAAAGAGGAAGCAGGGGCTGGAGAGGTGTGGAAGGGTTGGTCCCAGGCACGGGGGAAACGGGGTCTCCTTTAGACTTCTCACCTCTGTGAACCCTCACTTTCTTCTCACTCTTCCTCCTGATCTTTCACCAGGAAATCGGGGGTCATCAGAAGGCTGCTCCCAAAGCTGGGCTTTGGAGATGGGTGGAGGATGAGTAATTAAGATGCTGAGAATGCACTAGAATTCTGGGGTGGAGTCTGCTGGAGGTGGGGCTAGTTCTGAGATGCCAGCTGGACTTGGAAGGGTGAAGGATACCAGGTTTCCAGGAGTTCCTTCAGAGGGGGCTTCTCCTCCCCGACCCTGGAACGCCTGCCCACACTGTCCCGGCTCCCTGTCCAGCCTCCTGCTCTGCATTTGTAGGCACTCCCGCCCCCAGGTAGGCCTGGATGCTCTGGACTTTCAAGTGTCCCAGGCTACCTAGCCTGTCTTTGCTCTCTGGGCTGCAGCTGCTGAGGAGGCTTGGGGGAGGCCCCCCATCCTTCCTGGAGCACTGGGGTGCTATGTGCATCTTTTCTGGCTTTGCTCTTTGGGTTTCAGAGGTGGGAGAACAGTGACTCCAACCTCCCAGCCTTTGGAATGTGTATCCCAGCCCGACACAACTAACAGCCCTTATCTTTGGCATGGCAGGACCATGCCACCCTGGCACTCCCAGAGCTCAGTTTCCCCCACGTCTTGCCTTCTCTTGAAACAGACGGTGTTGCCACTTACTCGAGGGATGGTTTCCTAGGACCTTCTGTCCCATACCTTTGCTCCTCCTATGTTCCTCCAGCATGCCTGGTCTTTCCCTGCCCCCAGGCCCACCCACTCCAGCCCTGGGTCTGCCTTTGTCTCAGGATTCCTTGTTTCCAGATGAGAAGGCCCTTGGCTTTTCCAGCTGCTTTCTGCTCAGCTGGGCCAGCTCCTCTCCCAGCCTGAGGTTGAAGAGGACCAGGGAGAGGGTACTTGGGCCTTCTGTCTACTTCCTGCAGAGCTGGTTTGCACACCCCTTGAGTGTGGGGCTAGATTGTGCCTTAGCTCCCTGAGTCCTGGTTCTTACCCCATTTTCCTTTGGTTCACACTCCCTGACTTAATTGTACAGTCTGTGTGACAATGGTGGGGCTCCCCAGCTCCCCTCCCCGAGGTCATGGAGGAGGCCATGTTGCTGGACTTGTGTTAGCAATGGCCCTATTGACTGGTGACAGTCTTGGAGATACCTGTGGGGTGTCTCATGCTTGTCTTTGATATGGAGATGGGATGGCATCAGATGTGGGACCTTCAGATGGTCTTGATTGTGGGGATCCTTGTAGTGTATAAGATGTGATAACGGGGTACCCCCAACTCCCTCTTTCTCATCAGGTTTCTGATACTCTTGGGTCCCCAGAAAATGAAGACCAGTCCTCGTTTGCGGGAGTGTGAGGACTGCTATAGGCCCTGTCCAGAAGTAGCTGCAGGCTTACCCCAAGTGGAAGTGGGCCTGTAGAGTGCCTGTGGCTATGGCTGGTGTCTCTTGCCCAAGTCAAGGAGCTCACGGGTCCTTGCCTTCTCTCCTCCTGTCCCTCTTTACCCAGAACCCATTGTGTGCTGGGGTAAAAGTTGCCCTTCTCCTGCTTTTTATTTAATTGTTTATTTGAGATAGACTCTCAAAAAGCCCAGGCTGGCCTCCAACTTCCTATATAGCCAAGACTGGCCTTGAACTCCTCATCTTCTGCCTCCATTGCCCCAGTGCTGGGATGACAGGCGTGAGCCCACACCCTTCTCAGAGTGACCTGCCTCTGAGAGCAAACATGGTACCAGAGCCTCCAGCCATTCAGGAAACTTCCAGCTGCCTTCATGTAAAGCTGCTTTCTTCCCCAACACTGGAGGAGGCAAAGTGCTGTGTGCTCGTCTGGCCCTCTTGAGAGGAAGCCAAGGCGTGCAGAGTGAGAGAGGAGGGGTGTCACTGTGCCCTCTTCCCGTCGCTGTCGGCTTACAGGAGGCCCTTGCGGCGTCTCCCATCCACCCAAAGGGTGATGTAATACCTACCTCACAGGACTGTCGTGAGGCTTGGCCAGTGGCTTTGTTTTGTTCTCCCTTGGCTTGGAAAGGCATTGGGAAACAGTGCTTATAATTGGAGACAGTGTTCCATGCCCGCCCTGTCCTGTAACGCGCATACACTCCTCCTCTTCCCTTTGTAACCGTAGGACCCGTGACTCTGATGCGTAAATCATCTTGTCCATGGCACTTGTTTTTTAATGGTGATGATTGGGACTATGTCGGTAATTTTTTATTCTTGTTATCCCAATGCCTGCGATACTCCTGGCATCTGATGGACAGGGATTAAGAGCACAAAACAGTCCTCTTAACAAAGAATGTCTGGTCCTAGTGCTAGCCTCATGCCTGAGCAGACATTGCCACGGATTGCACTGGAATGTATACTCGAAAAGCCATTTCCCCCAGCCAGACCCTTATGCAGGCAAGTTTTCAATAGTGATCTCAGGGTTTGCTGAGGGTGCTCCCTGCACCACTGGGCTACAGAACTTCTTATGCGGTTGACTTTGGGAACCCTGGACCCATGCAGGTGTGCTGACAATGATGTCAGTGAGACCAAAGACAAGCACAAGTCTCTCATCGTTGACTCAAGGGCTCAGACCCCTGTGTGTAGAAACAGAAGAAAGCTGCAGTGCTGGAGGGCCAGAGCGAGGATGGATGGGGCAGGGGGCAGAATTTCACACATCTGGCTGACCAGCTCTTGTGGTGCCTGGGAGGCAAGAGCATCCTTCAGATGGTGGGATTCAAGGGTGCACTCATATGGAACGGTCGTGGTGTGTGGAAAGGCGTTCCTGGTCAGTCTGCAGAGGTGTGGCTGAAGAGGGTGGGCTGTGCATGCCGTGGGTGATGTGAGATGGGGGGCAGGGGGGCTGTGTTCTTACAGCATCTGGAGTTGGAGACAGAGAGGGAGGGTAGCGACAGAAATGTACAGTTATGCTTCTGGATTCCACTGGGTGACTCCATTGACAGATGACTACCATTGGAGGGCTGGGGTAGGGATGCTGAGAAGGATTTGTGGGGAAATCCTCTAGCTTGCTGCACTTTATTTTGTCCCAGATTGGAGTCCCTGCTCTCCCAACTCCCACTGGATATTCAGTGCTTTTGACTATCTTATGCATGGTTTATTCCTCTGGCTTGGATGGCAGTACCCACAGTCAATTTTCCTATATAACTTTATAGATCAAACAATATAGTGATGGGCGGTGGGAGCCTCAGGTCCACGGTGCCTCTGGGAGGCCCCGATATGCACACGCCCACCACTGACTTGTATTTAAGCACAGAGTGAATGCAATTAGATGTCTTGCCTCTCCAACACATTTTGCATTATAGAACTGGGTTTAGCTTCGCTTTGGATGAAATAAAAATTATTTTTTAATAATTTGGGGTCTGAGCTTTCTTGGGTTGCCTGGGAGTTGAGCTCCAGCTTCATTTTCCTGAGCTGACAAGTTCACTTGTGTTGAAAATGTTTCTTGCTCAGGTGAGATAGTACATGTCAGATGCCTCAGGGTTCCTGACATGTCTGAGACATTTGTGTTAATTCTAGTCCTTTGAAAAGGCAGTCCTTGAATACTGGAATTGATACCAGACTCTGTGAGCCGATGATCTTAGAAATAATTCTGGAGCCACAGGATAGCATCCATCTGAAGTAGAGTTTTACCTGGCTGCAAAAGCTAAGCTGGGGGTGGAGAGCCTGAAGAACGGATGTTGTTAGCATGCTAGTCTTGCAAGCATAAGGACCGCACTTAAGAGTCCCAGAATACTCTTCAACCAGAAAGGCCAGGTGTAGTGGTGCTCTCTTGTAATCCCAGCACCAGAGACCAGTGGATCCCTGGGGCGAGCCAGACTAACCTACTTGGCAAGCTCTAGACAGTGAGAGACCCTGTCTAGGGAGAAGCAAGATGGATGGCACCTGGATAACAACATGTGTTTGTCCTCTGGCTTCCACAAGTGTACTTGCACCCCCCCACCTGCATCTGCACACACATGTACATGCACACATGCATGTGCACACGCACACGGGATTCACCATAACGAGAGTACCTGTCTAGTATGTGCAAGACCCAGGTCCAATCCCCACCTCCAACCCAAAAAGTTAACTGTCACAAGCATCGTTATGGTTTAGATAGAAAACATCACCACAAATGTACGTTGAGCGCAATGGTGGGGGAGGGGAGTGGCTTTTGCAAAGGCACTGGATCATGAGGGCTCTGACCCCATCCATGGGTTAACCTAACCCCTTAATAGGTTCACGGTTTGATGGGATTACTGGGAGGGAGTGGAAATGAGGAGGTGGGGCCCAGAGGGATGTGTCCTTGAAGGCCACACTTCATCTTTGTTCCCTCCCTTCCTGGCCTCCATGAGATATGAAGCTTTCCTATCATGCCCTTCTAGCCTGATGTTTCTACCTTTGTCATGGGCCTAAGAGGAAGAGAGTCAGCTAATCATGAACCAAAACCTCCAACACCCAGAACCAAAGGGAATCCTTCTTCCTTTAAGTTGATTGGCTCAAGTATTTTTGTCACATCAACAAAAACTGATCAAGCAACCACCAGTGAGATGTCCTGGGTAAGCCAGCTCAGCTCTCTGTGCTGCAGTCCCTTTGCCTGCCAAGAGGGAGGAGCTTTGTCTGTTTCACGAGGAGCCTGTGCGATTATGAATAAAGAAGCACTTCAAAAACTTCAAAGTGTTGGCTATATAGATAAAAGGAGTTTCAGAGCCAGTGACAGCTCTACAAGTGTCCAGGAAGAGCCTGAAGCTAAGAACCCATTGAGGCTAAGCCAACCAGTAGAGAGGCAGGCAAAGATGAGACAGTGGTTGGACTTAACATTCCTTGCTCCTGGTTGGGAGGGGCTGTCAGCTGCATGAGGCAAAACTGGGAGAAGTGTGGTTCAGGTTAGGAAGTGACAAGTCATCTGATGTGCCTATGACAGTTGTCCAAAAACAAACTCATGGTCTCACCTCATTCTGAGATGGTCATCCCCAATGTTCCCACTCACCCAGTCATCAAGGACAAAATATCCAACTCTACCATAACACCTATTTTTCTCTCATTAACTCCTTAACTGCTCCCTCCCCCATGTCTCTTCAGCAAATCCCCTCAACTCCATGCCAAAAAATATTTTATGGACTTAGCTTCCGTTGGCATTACCAATCTTACAGTCACAGCCGAGGCAAGAGCCTTTCCCTGTTCTTCATCTCCTATGAATGCCCACATATTTTCATTCTAGTGGTGGACAATGTGAACAAACTATTTCTGGGCCTATGCCAGCTCCAGGGATTGCTCCCTCTCATACCCTCTAATTTGAAATTGTTTTGTGCATGTTGTCTCATCTAATCTTCAAGGACTATCATGACATAGACACAACTACCCCACCCACATTGCTGGAAAGGAGGTGAGGGAGTCGAGGCCCAGAGAGATGAGCTGGTTTCTCAAGTTGGTTTTCTCAGTTTTAGACATCCTTGACAGGGAGCCAAGGACTTCGGTGGATCCCTTGCAGATCTCTCTTTCTGTGGTGCTCTCTCGTCTGTCTCTCTGCCCGCTGAAACGTATCTGCTTTGGCTTTGCTGTCCTCCAGCTCTATCTCTGTGGTAGTTTGAATGAGAACGGCCCCATAGGCTCATATGTTTAGGAAGGGTTGGGAGGTGTGGCCTGCTGGAGATAGTGGGTCAATGTGGGTGGGCTTTGAAGTTTCAAAAGTCCAAGTCATTCCCAGTCAGTTCTTTCTGCCTCCAACTTTTGGATCAAGTTGTCAGCTCTCAACTATTGCTCCAGTGAATGCCTGCCTGCCTGCTGCCATGTTCCCTACCGTGAGGGTCAGAGACTGACCCTCTGAAACTATACACCCTAGTAAATGATTTCTTCTGTAAGTAGCCTTGGTCATGGTGCTTTGTCACAGCAATTGAAAAGTGACTAAGACAGAAGTACTCTGCCACAGAACACTTCCTGAACATGGTTTCCTTCCTCTGTTTCTCCTCTCTCAGGCCCCACTGACCTAGGTTGTCCCATCTCCTGTGTGTTAAAGATTTCTGAGGTATTTTCCCCCTAGTGTTTCAGTTGCTTCAGGTGGGGAAGTGGGTCCATTTCTTGCCTGTGTATTCTTTTTGGAAGAAACTCATAAAAATGTACATTCTTATAAAAACTCATTCAGAGATGTTTTTAGACATTTTATTTTTTTATCATTCAAAGCAAGAAATTACATTAATGTCTTTGGATTGGCAAGTAGATGTAATATATTGTGTTCCTATAACAAAGCACTAGGTGCTGATTAAAGAAAAGAGTTTTATTTAGCTTACAGTTCTGGACGTCAGAGAGAAGGACCCTGGTATGTACTGGATTCTGGCCAGGGCCTTCTGGTAGCTGGTATTACAATGGTCAGAGTGTGTGTTGAAGAGACAGGATGTGAGGGGAGGTTCTGGGGAGATGCTAGTCTGGTTTAGAACAAGTGACTCTTGAGGTACTCTCAGCCAGGAGCATTAATCCATTTGTGGGGATGGAGCCTCCGGGACCTAATTACCTCCCAGGAGGCCTAACCAAAGTTCTATCACACCCCAACACTACAACACTAGGGATGAAGTTTCCAGAACATGGACCTCTGGGGGGCAAGTCAGCATTGGGTAAATACACTGTCCCAGATGCCTACAATGAATATCCCTCAGTGATTAAACTGCTCCAGAGACTGACAAGGGCTGATCTAAAGAAACAAACAAACAAACAAAACAAAACAACACAAACCCTACCCAAACCAGAAATCATTAAGCTAAGAGAAGGAATTCAGAATAAAAAGAGCCTCTACTTCATCAGTTGTGAGCACTGTCTCATTCTGGTGAGGGACATGGTTATCTATGGAGGCTGTGTGTATGGAGGGGGTGTATGGGAAGTCATTTTACCCTCAGCTTAGTTTTTCTGTGAATCTAAAACTTTCCTAAAACTAAAGTCTTAAAAAAAAAAAGAGGTGCTGTATCTGTCACTTTCTCGCTGGTGGGACAAAAGACCTGGCAAGAACAACCTAAGTGGTGGTGGTGGGGTATCTTGGCTTACAGTTCTTGGAGTTACAGTCTCCCCTGGGTCAGGTAAGGCATGGAGGTGGGAGCAAGAGATGGATGGTCACATTGCATCCGCAGTCAGAAAGCAGAGTGTGATGAACACTTCCCTTAAGCTTACTTTCTCTTTTCCTTCAGTCCCAGACCACATGCTATCAAACGATGCTGCCTATGTTTGGTGTGGCTCTTCCCTCCTCCAGGAACCTAAGCTAGATAACCAGTTAGAGCCATTCCCAAAGACTTGTTTCCATGGTGGTCCTAAATTCCATCAAGCTGACAATGAAGGTTAACCATCACCTACTACATAGTCCTGTTTCTATAATATTCTAGAAAAAGCAAATTACAGGGACAGATGGATAACAGAACAGTGAGTGTCGTGGGCTATGGTAGGGGAAGGACCGGCATGGAGACCTTTGGGGGAGGATGGCGCCACTGTGGTGGCTGCTTGCCTGTATATGTTTGTCAACACTGGCAGAAGTGTACACTATGATGGTGATGTCATTGTAAGTGGATTATTACTTTGGGACAACTGTAAGGAATCCAATGACATCACTCTTTGGCTTAGAACTTTCCAGTCTAACTCACTAGCCTAGCTTTGGCCCAGATCCTCTGATTTTTTCCTTTTCTGAAGCTATCCAGGTGACTCATTCTTTTTAATCTCCTAGGATACATGTGTTTTTTTTTCTCTACTGGAATGACCTTCTGCAGAAATGCAACGATGATGCTAGTTTGAGGTCTTTGGGTCATTATGGGGATGCCCCCAAAGGAGATTCCTCCTCTTCCTCCTTTGCTACGTATTTCTATGTTGATATGCTGCTTTATCATAAGTCCAAAGCAAACAATCAAATAACAAACAAACAAACAAACCTGATCATGGACTTCCAAAATTGTGGGCCAAAAAGTCCTGTTCTCTTTATAAGTTAATTATCTCAGGCATTATAATATAGTGACAGAAAACTGACAAATACAGTTGGAGTATCAGTAGTAGTACCTTCTACCCATCTCATTTACTTTCTCACTACTTTTATTAAGAAATTAAAATTATATTTGTGTGTGTGTGTGAGAGAGAGAGAGAGAGAGAGAGAGAGAGAGAGAGAGAGAGAGAGAGAGAGAGAGAGAGAGAGAGAGACTTATGTGTGGAAGTCAGAGGACAGTTTGTGAGAGTCAGTTCTTATTATATCATATGGGTCCTGCTTTGTGTTAAAATAGCAAAATACCTGAGGTTGGATATTTTATAAAATAAAGAGGTTCATTTCAGTTGTGATTTTGATGCCTGGACAGTCCAGGCATGGTGCCACTGCCTTATCCAGGGACCACTGGCTTCCTTACAACATGGCA